GTGTTTTCAGGAATATAAGATCTTTACGTCGTGAAAGTCCCAAACCAGGTAATAATCATTAAACAATTACAGCGGTTGTTTTGTTTTCGGCCTGCATGTAAAACCATAGTATTCTGCTATCATATGTATGAGTAATAGAAATGTGTGTGTATATAAATGAATCAACTAAATTATATAACTTGTGAACATAAAGGGTTCATATTTAAATACTTATATATTGTGTGTATGATTATCGCTTTACGTTAACTATCAATTATTCATTATATTAAGAAAATATTGAGGCTTTTTATTTTATGTATAAAATTATTTTGCTTACATACTCTAACATATCTGATGTGCGATTACTTTAATATGTTGATTTAGGTGTTACTGCCGGAAGCCATGACTTATCCACTTACACAGATTTGGACGCAAGCATGAAAGAAATTAATAATTATGATGAGTTCAATGTACAATATGAACATCTGAACACTTCAAGCCGGGAGCCAAATACATACATGGAGTTGACAAATACAAATTTGCCTAATACTGACACTTCCGACTACGTTAATATAAGAATATAAACTATCAATTTAATTGATTGATGAAATGTTTCGAAATAATGAATTATGTAAAACAGAAAGTATCGGCATAAACAGTTTGCAAAGAATAATATAAAATTAATATTATGTTTATATATTATATTATGTTTTATGTGAATGCGTTATAAATATACACTACATTCACGGTTAAAGGACCCATTTAATTAGCCTATCATTGTAAAGTACTATGACACTAACGAAGAAACAAGTAAAGTAACAGTTTGCGAATTATATTTTTTTTTATAGAAATGATTTAAATTATATGTTTGACTATTATATAATTATATTTGTATCCCGTATGTATTATATTGAAATCAATATTATCAATATTGGCAAAAGGGTTAATTATTACATACATTATCAGAAAATGAAAGATTCCGTGCTAATCGTATATATATCAAGGTAGACACATTTTCTTGAAAAAGAGGAAAAATATAAGAAAGCTTAATACACCAGAATATTTTTGTATTTAAGGATATCGTTCAATTTGAAACAAATAATTATCTTAGTCTGTACAAAATGTGTTTTACATTTTTCTTAAATCAAAAGACAAATATGTATTGACGTGTAAGATAGTTTGTAAACTGGCAGTTTCCATGGTAACCCCATAAGCCAACTGTCAATATGGCCTCGGTTTCTTAAGAAATAAATTGTTATACCAAATACAATGTTAAATACCCAACAAAACATAGATATAAATATTGCCGTTATTGTAAAAGTTCTATGCAGTTGTTTATTACCTTTATCATATCATTACATAATTGTTTGAAATATACATTGTTAATTTGATTAAGAACACGGTTATACATTTCTTTGTCATATTTTGAAACATTCTTTTGTTTTATGAATAACCTATTGTGTTATTAAGACGTATATTGTTTCATTAAAACATTATTACAGTTAAGACCAAACTTTAAAACAAAAAAAAAAACAATGAGAAAAATTGATTTCACTACCTGAGCAGTCAAACCTTATTCATGTAAGATGCTGAATGAAAACGTGTTTCCAAAGTTAAGAAGACAAATTGCCTGAAAAAAAATTGCACGATCAAATATTTACGAATAATTACAATTCGCAGAAATCGCAAATATTTCCACATCGCAAAATAAACCACTTATACAGTTTTTAAAAATAAAAGCGCAACCCTGATCATTTTGTTTACTTTTCGTCACAATAATGCGCTGAGATACAAAGTATACAAAGTAAAAAGAAGCTTAAGTTTATAAAATTATTTAAATTATTAGATGCAGATATCAATTCCACAGTTTTGTTTGTTTTTTAAAATTTTATTTAAAATGATTTCAAGAAGACATATAAACACTCATTTAACAAACAATTCAATTGTATGTTTAATATGATAGTTTCAAATCACACAAGAGGGTAACACCGAACTATAGCGCTCACCTTGTTTCCGTTTTTAAAGAAAATGACGAACTTTTCAAACCAACATTACAGAGAAAACTATTTAATTCACATCGGGATGTCATTTTTAACCCAAGCTGCATGCATTATATAACACTTGTAAGGTAAAAAAATTCTACATTACATATACAAATATATTTGTTTTGGACATTGAAGTTTTATACAAGAAGTCGATTTAAATTTGTTTTATCTATACGAGTCTAAAAACCTAATTAGCTATTTGTTTTGGATCTATGGCATTATTAATTGAACTTTAATGGACTACAAAGTCAAACAACATTCTAAATATCTCTGGGCAACGAAGGAGAATACTTAGATAACATGGTCTGTGTTTACTAAATGATCACCGTGGCGGGCAAATGTTTGACCAAAGGGTCAAGATTTATATACTAGTATCTAGTATACCTTTTGCAGAAATCCCCTAAGCAGTACTACATGCCAAACGCTCTGGACGTTGTATTTTTTATATCAATTAGTTTTTAAGCTAAGAGACCATCGAGGCAAGAACTATTTGATTAACATTTTTGTGGGACGCAACATAGTATCATTCTTGTGACGCAACACATTAAAATCCTTGTAATATATTAGATAACGACAATACTAGACCGAAGAAATAGCAGACACATTGCCATCGCAAAAGCTCAAGGTTGAGCACAAAGTGTTCGGTTTTACTATAGACAAGGTAATTGGATTATTGAAACTTATAAAATGCAAACAAACGATTTGAATAAAATGCTTGACAAGTCTTCCGTTAATAAACATAAACCTTACCCTTAACAAAATAAACAAACAATCGAATTGCATATTTTAAATTGTCATCTTAAAAAGCAACTTTAATAAAGTATTTTAAGAAATGATTGCCTCATATTGATAAAAACAGATGTCAAATACATGCATTGTGCTCTTTCTCAAACAAAATGTACAAAAATAACATTCAATAACTTTAAAAGTTTATGTGTGCTTCTCATTATATGCATGCAAATATGGGCATTTTAATACATTTCTTCACTGTAACTGAATAAACAATAATAACGATATCACGATGATTCGATCATACACATGTACTTGTATTTACAAAACAAGAAGGATTAATAATAAAAATAATATTTATATTAAACATTATAATAAGAGACCATCGTCAGATCCCAAGGTAATCAACAAATTCAAATAAGTCAATAAACACTTATTAAAAATATGCACAATAAGGTAAAATAAATAAACACAATATCACAAATTTAACATATTTTATTTAACATTTTAAGCTAAATACAGGAAAATGGTCCCAAAAAACGTGCACTCAGTTTTAAAATCATTCTCTTTATTGGTTCTCTGCAGTCGTAGCTAAAAATCGAATACATATACGTTCACATTTACTCAGCAAGGAGAATATTTATTAAACATGCCGCCAGACATGTTAATAAAAATTTTCAGTAAGAAAATAATATATCGTGGGTATTTTCTTATGTCTTTACTCTATGTCTTTAAATTTGAAGTGTATTAACAAATTGTAAACTAGAAATGTGTCGCCACTCTACGGATGACCCCGCATGCAGCCAAAAGCAGATGTTATAAATAAATATTTAGTTCCAAATTTGTTTGCACAAACTAGTTATATTCATTTTAAGTTCAAAGCCCTTAAAACTATTCAATGATAACACAAACCATTTTTATACAAAGTTCCATGCACTGAAACTATTCAGTGTTAACCTTTTGTAAATTGTATCTTGCATATGTGTTACCAAAATAATGACTACATATACACTTTCACAAAAGTATGAGTAAATTCAAAATTTTTCCAACCTTCATGAGAGATTTCTTTGTCCCAAATCATTGAACCATGACCAAATTCAAACTTGCATTGCTACCTCTAAGATGTATCTATATTACAAATTTGAGTTGAATGTGTACAACCATTCGGGAGATAATGAACGGAAACTAAAAAATTCTGATTGATTTTTTTTTCAAAATTTAAGAGGGATAACTCTGTAAGCTATCACCAAACTATGACCAAATTCGAACTTGACAAGTGTACGTATGACATATCCATATTTTGGTATGAGTTGAATATGTACAACTGTTGGGGAGATAATGAACGGAAACTAAAAATCTTCTTTTTTCAAAGTTAAATGGCCATTACTGTGCCAACAATCATGAAACCATAGCAAAATTCGAACTTAACATGCGCATACTTTTGAGGTATCCATGTGTGAAATTTGAGTTCAATGCGTAATACAGTTGGGGAGAAAATGAACGGAAACTGAAAATTTCATATTATTTTCAAAGTAAAGGGGGCATAACTCAGCCAAAAATCATTTAACTATGACTAAATTCGAACTTGCGCATTCATTGACATATCCATATCTTATATTTGAGTTGAATATGTACAACTTTTGGGGAGATAATATAAGGAAACTGAACATTTCATATTATTTTCAAAGTGAAAGGGCCATAACTCTATCATGATGAATAAATTTGCACTTGACCTGTGGAATGAACGGAAACTGAACATTTCATATCATGTTCAAAGTGAAATGGGCATAACTCTGCCAAAACTCGTCGAACCATGACCAAATTCAAACTTGATCTGCGCATACCTTTGACGTATCCATGTTTTAAATTTAAGTTGAATGTGTACAACTGTTTTGGTGATAATGAACGGAAACTGAAAATTACAGCAAGGGGCATAACTCTGTCAAAAATAATCGGACCATGACTTAATTCAAAATTGACCTGTATTTTCTCATGTCAAATTTGAGTAACTATGCATATTTTGTGACACAAATTTCATTAACACAAAATGAGAAATTACAATAATATTGTAGTTACATGTAAAAGAGACATTTGAAGGCACACTGTTTCATGATATTACTTAGAAATAATTAAAAAAATCCAATTACATTTTTTCGGTTTTATGAAAGACATAACCCAAGCAAAATTAAAGAACAATTGATATTTTGGTTTAATATACCATATGCTCATACATATTGTCAAAACATAATATTTTCTTAAAATCGTATCAACTTAAACATACGTTTGTTTAAAGCTGAATTGTGTTCAAAGTAGAATTATTTTAGCATATATTACATTGTTGTATATTGCATTTCTAGGGGTTGTATAATGGAATGAAAAATGTAATGAAACAAAATTAAAGTTATAACATTTCTTCAATTTGAAGTATATAATTGACAAAGTTCAGATAAGTATGTATAGCTCGTTTAGTCCCTCATTTGGCAACAAAATAAGGTTCATTATTATACTGTCTACATTAACCTGTACAAAATAATTTTGAGGAATCTTTTAAAAATGCTATAAATTTGGTACGATTTTTTTTCCTTTCTCCGCATCGGTTGAAATTAAGTTTAATTTTTTCAGTATATGTGAATTTTAAAGCAAGATTTACACATGGCTGCTTTACATACAAGACAGTAAACAGCTGCAGTAGGTGACATCGTTTCATCTGCAATGAATAGGAAAATATGCATGATTATAGCTTATATTAAATATTTTAAAATAAGCAACTTTTATAAAGAATCATATAAACAGCAGACAAAACATAACCCCACTTACCCCAAATAAAATTCAGTTGTTATTATTCTCACATGTTATTTACTGTAAGTTAGGCTCGTTGGCCGCTATAAAGTAAGTTAACATACTTTCCAATTTCTACTAAAAATTACAAGGGAATTAATCTATTGCAACTTTGTACTTTAAATGCATGACTAGTGACATATCCGGGACTCGTACTTGATAGCAAAATGTTCTTTTTAAAGATTTTTGTACCTTAACGGGCGTTTTTATACTAATTAATTATAGACTACATACGTGCTTTTCTCAGCCTCATAACGGTAAACAATATATTTAAATTTTGGGACCAATAAGGAATAAAAAAAAAAGAATCATATATACATCAGCCAGCCATCGGACAATCGCCTGCCTGTCATAATCAGAATTGATTGTTAAGCAGTATCATGTAGATGTAAATGTCTGCTTGCAAAATTTCTGCGAATTGACCACCACGTTGACCTTGAAAACGACCACACAATTTTGCGCTCGGTCTCATGAGTGTTAATATTTATTTGAGGATATATTAAATTGTCTGTGCAAATGTTTTAAAAATTCTATTTGATATTTGACCTCTACATAGGACTTTGACCTGAATGGAAATGCCACTTTTACAAGACTTCCATTGCTTATGGAAGGTTTGCTTTTGACAAGCGTTTCATCCAAGGCCTAGGTGTAATATTTAAACGGGGCATGAAGTATTTTGAGGAATATTTGTGTCACGTTATACAAAAATGTTTGCATGCACGTTAAGATTCAGGACTGTACGTTTTTATAGAACATACGTTTTAAATGGGATAATTCTAATGAACTCCCTATAAAATTTAATAATATATAAAAGTAAGTTTCACAATGTCAGTTTCAAAACACTAAAACATCACGCTATGGAATACATTTAAGCATAATACATTAATTTTTGTTTGCAAACCCTTTAAATAGTATGCAAGTTTATCTAAAATAAGATTAGAAAATTGTTACACTTGTTAAATATAAATATCATTTGTGCACATTTACCATAGATGTTTTGTAGATAATACCTGATACATGCTGCAACTCGTTTTTGAATGCATCAATTCAAATGTTGGCATAAAAATTCTAAGGCGGATTTTAATTTTTATTTTTGTCAAAACAACTGTCCACTTAAGTTTAATTAATAAGGCTTACTTACTGCCAACATATAAGGTATAACAAGATACAACAAATTGTCGAATTATTTGTTTCCAAATAACAGATATATAGAGTTTTTTGTTTGTTTTGTATGTACAATTGAAATATATTTAAATGAGTTAACAGCAGATGCAATATTTTCACGAATGGAACAGCCACGAGTGAAAATAGAATAGCTGGTGCTCAAGAATGAAATATGTTTCAATTTTATATGTACAAATACATTTCTTTTTATTTCATGCCTTTTAAGTGATTTAATGATTTTATTTACTGATTTTGCCACGTAACGTCGTGTTTTCTTCTATATGACGTCATGGCAGCATGACGTCTAATCATTAATTTATAAAAAGAACCCAACGTTTCGTTAAATTTGTCTAATTTTGTTACATTTTAACAAGATGAATGATGATATCGACATTCTTTTCCTAAAGGAGCAAAATTTATGTATGACGTCATAGTTTTTCCTGCTATTCCATTTAGTTATGATATTCTCCTCATTCGCATTCAAGTACAGTCCGGCTACAGTGAAAATTATATTTTATTAATTCTACCAGTGGTTAATCAGAATATAATCATCTGATATATTACAGTTAAACGCTAGAAAAAATAAGATTTATTAATGGTGAATGCATTAATATTTAAATACTTATGCTGTATGTTTGTTTTCTCGAAAAAGCGTTTGATCAACATTCATTTCCGAGTTTCAGGTTCTTTTGGTACTTTTGATTATGGTTAATCTATCGGTCACACAGATATAAAACATATAGGCTTTTAGTAAATATGCACGACAAAACTCAAACAGTCTACAGCATTAAAAACAACTTGAAGTGCTTACAAAACATGACGATATATAATGTTAGAATGTCTTTATTCTATGAAATGAAGTAATGTTCGACAAACATTTGATCAATGCTCACCTTCATGTACTTGGCATTTTTTGTTCATATCACGAAGATTTTCCATTTTACTCATGACTTCTTTTGTATATGACATGTTTCTGTCAGATGGGATATTAAATATATAACAATTCCCACATTTAAACTCCGGATTCAAAGATGTGAAATCACAACACTCAACAAGATTCAGTTTACCAGTCTGACAGCTATTGCAGTAGAATAAATTGCCTAAAAATAATGTCATTGGTTTAAGTAAAAAATGTAATATTGAATCAGGATTAATGTTCACAAATTTAATTACTTTTATTTGAATTGTTCTCTGCGGACAAGAGTCTGCATGGGTATTGAAAGGCAAATTAAAGTTTGTAGCAATAGGCTCGTGGCCTTTTTTGACTCATAGAGAGGAAGTGATCTAAAAACCGTACATGAGTGGTCACGCTTGTATTATCCGTGATTATTAATTGAATAATTTATTTTAATGAATAATTTTACATAAACAATAAAAAATAAACAGAATCGAACTGCACATACTTTTATCATTAAGAAAATCAAGAATATTGTATGAAAATGACAAAAAAAGACTAAACGTCGTACATCTTGGTATTTGCAGATAATCTTGATAATTTCCCCTAACACTATGCTATATCAATATTTAAGAAACAAGATGTCATGGGTTTTATGCATGAGACACATATTTGTTTTCTACTGATCTGGATATTGTCGATATTTATCAAACTAAAACTGTCGTAGCAAAAGTCTTGAAGACAAATTCTAATATTTCAACTACTTGTTTAAACATATTTCTTTATATATCACTTAAACATTGAAGACAAAATCATATCTTTCAACTGCTTTAACTGCTTGTTTAAACATATTACTTTATATCTAACGGAAATCTTGAAGACAAATTCATATATTTTCACTGCTTGTTAAACCTTTTTTCTTAATATCTCACTAAGAATAGATTATTTGTATTACTAAATATATCGGTAAAGAATTTTAGTAAATATCTCAATAACAAAATGTTAATCACAACTGTGCAATTCGATTCAATTACACTGAGGAAAAACTATTGACAAACAATGTTGGTGTTTAGAGCTTTTTGCCTCAGAGAGTATTTAACAAGATTCTTTTTAATTTAGATAAATGCTGAATATTCACTGAAGGTCTCCAGGTGCACGCTCGCACACGCAAAAATACACAATCATGAGCATAATTATAAATAAAAATGTGTCAAACCTAAGTGTACTTTTTACCTTCTACAGTTTTACTCCAATGTTCATATATTCTTCTGTGTTTTTTAAAGCATCCTAGACACATGTATAATTGACATACAAGGCAGAAAACATCAACTTGCAAATTCCTCACGTTGCCTAAAACTATACAATACAATATCCTTTAGACATTTAAAGAGACAAGGAAAGTCTTATAAAGTGATATTGATGAGTGTAGTTTAAGTCTTTAAGAAATAACAGTAATGAATGTAGATTTAAACTTAGTGTTCTCCATAATTCATTTTCAGCCATGTTACTTTACGATTTCAAAACGTCAAAACGGTAACAAAATTGTGCCTTTTTCGCCAATATATCTTTACATTGAATGGTTATATCATGACGTTCTTTTTACAAACATTTGTCACATAAAGAAGAGTCAATATTGTGAAATACAACGTGACCAAAGCAGTTTACTTGATGAAGGTCTAGCTATTCTATTGTACTTCAGGGGTAAAACTGCTTTATTTATAAATAAATAATGATAATTAATCTATATACTCTACAATCATTTTAACTGATAAGGTTTTTGTATGATATGTCTTATATAACATGGTGTTTGTAAAAAAAAGCAGCTAAATAATGATAAAGATGGTAATTTTTACCTTCATGAACTTGACAACATTTCTGATTTTTTGTAATATTCTGGACAATTAGTTCTTGCGATTCGCTCTTATTTTTAAGAGCTTTTTTCAGATTTCCAGTCTCATAACAGTTTCCGCATAGAAATACACCTTCGTTTAGTGCCAAACATTCGATTGGAAGCCTTTTTACTGATGGACATCCTTTGCAAAAACACTCTTTCTTCGATGAAGCTGCTGTGAAAACAATGTACAAATATGTTTAAAGCTAAACTTTCAATGCCTAACAAAATCGGTAAAACTGCTCCTTTTCAAGTTTTTTTTTTCTTTTTAATGACTTTGTGTGTACTGTTATTTCGTTTAGAGAAAAAAATGACTTTTTAAAAAATCAGATTCCAGGGTTCAAGGGTCAACGGTTCTAATTGAATTTTCTTATTTCAAACTGAAATCTCATGTTCTGATTGGTCAGAAAAAGGTTCACGTGTACAATTGCTGAGGAAAAAATCATGACATTTGAGACAAAGTTCAAAATTTAAGTTTTATAATCACAAGACCAGCAAATAACTACATGTATTTCCAATAAGTGATTACCTTTTACCAATCTGATATAATAACAAGAACACGCATTACTATTTAATATACAGATTGCTTATGCACGAAGACTACAATAAGTCATAAGGAATGCGCCTTTCGATACATCACTGATAATTTCAAGTTCATATCTTAAAGATTGACATGTACATTTGAATAAAATCTTATTTAAAAGTATTCAATTTCTGAAGATAACAAGAAGTTATATTGATTTTATTTGTGGTAAGACTTCGTAAAATTGAACTGAAACGATCCTGCGCAAATTAAAAATATAATTCCAAAATTCAACTAACTGCTAACATCGCCAATGCTACCTACTTTAATCAAACATAAAAGGTCATTTTCTTATTGCTTTTATTTCGTCAAAAGAAAAAAATGCTCTTACCCATCAGTGAAGAAATAATGATATGCCTATCATGTATTTTTTTGCAGGGGTCACATATAAATATTTGACATTGTATGCAGAAATCCTTTATTTTATTGTTGTTTTCCAAATTACAACACATACCCGCCCTTGTACTGATGAGACCTGAAATAAATCTTAAGATATATTTGGTAGCTATATCACTATCTTTGTTACAGAAAGATTTGAAAACACAAATCAAACTCAAACTTAAATGTAGACAATTGTATACTGCATTCACAAATTGCTTACATGAAGATGAAATCGCTTGCAAGAAAGTGACAAAAACACATACTAGGTGTGAACACTTATTGCATTGGAAAACAAGTAATCACGCCGGGTTTAAACAAATTATTTGATAAAAATAAATAACAAAAAGTTTCACTTTCACAAAAAGTTGTATTTATTGATAACTTTAATTATTAATGATACAATTTTGATAAAGGAACATTGAAAGTATAAACAGGTGTCAAAAGTCATAGTTAAAACTTAAATAGAAATTTCAATATACATTTCGACAACAAAAATGACCGCCCTTATGGACATTATAAGGAACCGCGGAACTGACAACTGTGGTCAGATATATACCTTAAAAGATATACGTATGTAAAATATTAACACAATTTACAGTACGGTTTACTCATTATGGACACTCCTGTGTAGAAGAAGGCTAACAAATAACATTAGCAAAATGATGTTTGTACTCAAAATGTGTTTTGTTTTAATCAAATTTAGCATTTTTGTCAATAAATACCTATCATAATTATATAATTCAAATCAAATACTTTTTTCTTTTCAAATGGGTCTGCCAATTAATATTCAGAAAAAAATGACCCATCTGTGCTTAAACCCACGACTCAGTTTCAATGCAGTTGGCAGTAAGTTTAGCCTATTTGAATACTCTTCAAAGCGGAGGTTATAGGGTGGTCATACCTTAAAGCTGTTCATCGATTTTCGATTTACAGTAGAACTTCTATGAGTCGAACTTCGATTAGTCGATTTTCTCGATGTGTCGAAGTAAAATGAAAGTCCCATTTTTTCCCCTTATATATTGCATATAAAAACCTATTTATGAGTCGAGATTTTATGTGTCGAGTTTTTCGATGTGTCGAAGTTTTTTCGTGGTCCGTATAAATAAATGTAGTACAATTTACCACAAGTAAGTCGAAGTTCTTCGGTTATTTTGACACCTTCGATCTCGAGACATTTTCACACCTTTTCTGGTCGCGAAGACGATTTCCGATCAATTTTAGTGACAGGTGTTAATTACACAGCCGAGTGTATAAACAGCCTTTGTATGCGTTTAAATGTGTGAAAAAAAATGCTTTAATCATTACTATTTTAATTGCCGTAGCGGTATTTGAAAGTACATGTAAACAGTAAGAACTATCATCTATAGTGAACAAAACTGATCTTCCGCACCTCGCAAGATCAGAAGTACAAATATACTATGAAAAATATTCAGGTCAAACACATATATACACAGATGGATCTAAAGACCCGGACTCTGGCAAAGTAGCTTCAGCCGTAGTAATCCCTTCCCAGCAATATGAAAAAAATTGACAGGTTAACAAATAAAACATCCATCTATACGGCTGAGCTACTTGCAATTAGGAATGCTTTGTGCTGGATAAATGACAACAATCACAATAAAGTTGTCATTTTCTCTGATTCTCTATCATCATTGGTCTCACTGAAATCAAATAATAGTCAGTCAAGACCAGAACTTTTACAAGAAATCTATATATTATACAATAAATGCCTAAATGTAGGTAAAATGGTAACCATTGTTTGGTGTCCAGCACATATAGGTATCTATGGTAACGAACAGGCGGACATGGCGGCCAAAGCAGGCCTAAAATTCAGCAGTGTAACAGAACCTATACCACTCTCCCCCACTGAAATATATTCTATAATACGCCAACATATTTTATCTAAGTGGCAAAAAGAAATAAATGATAATCTCCCCAAAATTAAACATGTAAATACTACAGTCAGCCTTAAACGACCAATAAAATATTCAGACAATACCAAAATTGATAAAATCATTAGCCGGCTAAGACTGGGCTCAAGCCTATTACCTGGTAGTGTGGGGCAATACATTAAGAAAATTGACCCGACCTGCCCACAATGTGGAGTGAGATATGGTTCTGACCACCTACTGATCGAATGTCCCCAATTTGCAGCCCAGCGGCAAGAATTGGTGGGTCGCATTGGATCAGTGGGGCTTGGATTTACTGTAAAGAACATTTTAAATCCCCCCAAACAACATCATAACCATGTATATGGGGCTCTTGAGATATTTATCCTTGAGTGTAAATTAACAGACAAAATTTAATAAATCAACTTGAAATGTGCCCGTGTCCCCCTCAGGTAAC